CTTGCTGCGGAGGGAGGAGGGCGCCCCCGAGTATCGATAGGTTCGAAGCATACTCTGCAGCCACCCATTCATGTTCCATATTGCTCTGTAGACGGCTGCAGCCGCCTCTGGTGCGCTTCCTTAGCACAGCTTTCTTTGCATGTTGTAGCCAGCTAGAGCCTATCGTTGCTCCGACGGTTGCGACTCCTCTGCTGTTAGTTTGTATTCGGCCCTTGCTCGGTGCTCCGGTGCCCCGATACCCCTCGGTTTCGCATCGGTAGACTCACGCGCGCCAGCCCAGCACTTCGCCAGCTGCACGCGTGTCGTGGGTAGCACTGCGAAACATAACGGATGAGCGTCCACCTATCCTTGATTCCTGTCCTCTCTTGCTCCCCTCCTCCTCCTCCTCCTCAACGCCGTCCTCTCCTCCTCCTCTCCTCCGCCTCTCTGCGTCTTACTCTGGTCATGATGCCCCCTCTTCTTTCCCCTCCCCCCCCCCGCTCCCTCGGGCCCTTGAGAGCGCGTGCTACAGCTGGGCCCCAGGGGCCACGACTCAACCTCGACAGACAGAGAGATTGGCGACAAGCTGACGGGTGCATGGGGACATGGAGGCACAAGGAGGAGAGAAGGGAGAAGCCTTCCACGCGTAGCCATTTAGGCTCAAGTGTTGTGGCTTGCCATCTTCCAGCGAGGCCCTTTCGGTCAGGTGCTGAGGCATGTCGGAAGCTGGGCTGGACAGCCTCGACGGAGACGGCGCCATCAGTTGCGTGGGCCTTCGCCAGTGCCACTTGTGCTTGGCCCCAGGTGCGGACAAACAGTACAAGGGCATTTGGCTTCACTCGGCCGCCTGCTGGAACGCTGTGAGATCGAGGAAGCGCAACGCCAAGGCTTCTCCCCAGTTGCAGCAGCAGGACGACAAGGACATGATCAACGAGCCCGAGAAGTGGCGAGGTAACGTCACGCCGTTCTTGAGCACCGACTCCTCGAGCAGGGCTCAAGCTCGGGCGGCCGTCCGCGACCAAGTGAATGTCACGGAGACCATGCAAGTCGACAGTGAGATGCAGCTCGATGATCAGCACATTCTGACTCGCACCCGTTACAAGAACTACAGGAAGTGGTGGGACGACGTCGGGTCAGATACGGCCTACGAGGACTTCGACGAAGAGCACGAGGAGCAGAAGGGCAAGTACGACACTACGGACAAGCACGGGAACAAGGTCGCGAGGGTAAAGACCGAGGGCAACGCAATGGTGAGGAAGGGCAAGGGGGTCACACACAAACGGGGCCAGCGCACTACTACTCCGACGGATGGCCACGACGGCAACGACGACAGTGACCGCCCGAGGCGCCGCATCAGGCTTGGTGCCGACTCCGATGCGGCCGACAGCGCTGCTGGGGGGTCGCTTCAGTCCACCTTCCGCCCGAGGCCATGCTCCCGCAGTTTCTCGTCTGGTGGAGCTGCAGGACACGCGCGCGCTGATGCAGATGAGGAGGAGCCCGAGCCTAAGATGCAACCTGCGGCAAGCCCACCTGATAAGGTCAAGAAGGATAAGGTTCCAACGCCACCGACAGCGAGCTTGGAGTTCATCAACAAGAAGGAGCAGCTGCTGGTGGACTCGGAGAAGCTCTTCGACAAGATTGCGGGCTCCAAGGGGATCGCGACCACGCTGGCGCAGTGCCGAGTGGACATCAGCAGGGCCGTCAAAGGCGACGCCTCGGGGTGCGACGACGCCGACGACGACGACGGCGAGGGAATTTCTGCCCCCACGAGGTGGGCAGAAATCCCCTCAGAAGAACACGACGACGACGACGACGAGTGAGTCTCCGCCTCGGCTGGGTTCGCACCCCAGGGCGTCGCCTTCGAAGGCGAGTTGCAACCAGATGAGCTACCTGATGGCCATGAGGACCTCGAGCACAAGATCGAGGCGCTGAAGACCGAGGTCAAGGGCTTGATCGATAAGAGCAAGAGCGTTCGCCGCGCCGAGCTGGAGGCGCTGGAGGGCAAGAAGGACGAGCTGTACGGGAAGCTGAGTGCATTGGAAGTCACCATCTCTGAGGTGGTGTCAGTCACGACGCAGAAGAAGGGGAAGGCAGTCACCCAGCAGCGCAAGGCTTACATGAACAGACGATGGCAGATCACGCAGATCGTAACCAAACTCCTGAACGGCACCTTTTCCGAGAAGCACGGGAAGTTCTTGGCGGGTTTGCTGGTCGATGTCGTGTTCACGGCCAGCGTCGGGGACACGCATCTGGCCAACACAGACGCGAAGGGCGACCCAGTTCAGCAGGCGAAGATCTTCGCGCCGAAGTGCGTGTGCTTCTCCGTCGACCCCAGCCCTGAGGAGTTCGCCTGCTCGCACGTCGTGCACTGGACGGGTGCGGTCGACTCGCCTTTCAAGGCCATCTTCGACACCAACAAAGACGTGATCAGCACCAAGCTTGAGACGTTCGAGAGCACCATGGCGGAGAACGACAAGTGGGCAGGGGCATGTGGCACGTGCGGTGATGGGTTCGTCCTGGAGGGGGCCTCGATGTACGGCTCCACGCTGGAGGACATCGACATGAGTGGCTCGAAGCCTTGGATCGTGAGCGTTCGTGAGGGCCACCGTCGCAGTGCACCAGCTTGCTCGCCGTTGGCAGGGCTCGCATGCGTCATCAAACCGATCGGTGACCAACGGATCTTCGTCCACGGGGTCGCCATGGAGCCGCTCTTGCAGATGGGCATCGCGCTGGCGGACTTCGACTCGTTCTCGAACACCGCTGCGGGCGTCGAGTTCATGAAGGCGCACTCGTTCGTGGTCGGTGCCAAGCCCGACGAGATGGTCTACTTGCCGCCAGCGTGTCTCTACTACGTCATCGCCATGACGGCCAACAACAAGAAGACGAAGACAGAGAAGGAGGTTGCTCACATGCTCCACTTGCCTGTGTGGGTCAAGAGCTGGCACGGATTCTCGGAGAATCTCAAGAACGCGATTGTCGCGCTGAACGGCTCGACATTCCAGCAGAAGAGGGGCAAGCAGATGTGGGAGGAGCGCCTCGCGTGGTTCAACAAGATCCTCGAGTGTGATGCTGGTGCGATCTCTTAGGCGGCCCCCCGCCCAGAGCTTGGAGCAACGACGATGGGTGCAGCGCCTTCGCTGCGGTCGTGGGAGAGCTCGGCGGGGCCGCCTTGAAAAACGCTCGTGCCGATATCAGAGTGCCGACGCAGCTCCGCCGACAGCAGAGTGCCCCCCCCCCCCGCCGCAGTGTCGGGGGGAAGGAGGAGGGTGAGGAGGAGAGGAAACGAGGAGGAGTACGAATAGGAGGTGGGGGAGGAGGATGGAGGAGGGAGGGGAGAATGAGGAGGAAAGGCAGGAGGAGGAGGAGGGGGAGGAGAAGCGAGGAGGATGAGGAATGATGTAAAAAATGAATGAGGAGGAGGATGAGCTCCTCCCTCCTCCTCCCTCTTCTTCCTCCTCCTTCTCTCCTCCCTCCCCCTCCTCCTCTTGTCCCTCCAGAACACGAGAGGGGGGGAGGGGGGAGGGAGGGAGGGAGGGAGGGAGGGAGGGAGGAGAGAGAGAGAGAGAGAGAGAGAGAGAGAGAGAGAGAGGGGCAATAGAGAGAGAGAGAGAGAGAGAGAGACAACGAGAGAGAGAGAGAAGGAGGGAGGGAAGGAGGGAGGGAGGGAGAGAGAGAGAGAGGGAGCGAGAGAGGGAGAGAAAGAGAGAGAGAGGAAGATAGGAGGAGAGAGGGAGAGGGAGAGAGAGAGAGAGAGAGATAGAGAGAGACAGAGAGAGACAGAGGGCGAAAGAGAGAGGCAGAGAGCGAGAGAGAGAGAGAGAGAACAAGCTAGATATTATATAACGGGTCAGAGAGATGTAGGGGGAAAGAGACAGGGACAGAGAGAGAGAGGGATGATAGATACAGAGATAGAGAGAGAGAGCATGAGAGAGAGAGAGAGAGAGAGCGATAGAAAGTTAGACATTACAGAACGAGTCAGAGAGATGTAGGGACGGGGGCACGAGACAGAGAAACCAGGAGAGATAACCATTGAGAAACAGAGAGACACAAAGAGAGAGAGAGAGAGAGAGAGAGAGAGAGAGGGAGAGACAGCGAGAGCCCCCGCCGCCCCGCCGCGACGTGGGGGGCGCCTGCTGGATCGGCGCCAGGACGCCCGCCGCAGGGTCGGGGGGAAGGAGGAGGAGGAGGGGAAGGTAGGAGGAGTGCGAATAGGATTTGGAGGAGGAGGAGGATGAAGGAGGGAGGAAAAAAGGAGGAGGAGGGGCAGGAGGAGGAGGAGGAGGAGAAGCGAGGAGGATAAGGAATGATGTAAAAAAGCGGATGATGAGGAGGCGGATGAGAGTTCCTCCCTCCTCCTCCCTACTCCTCCTCCTCTTGGGCGTGAGGAACCGCAAAACGAGGGGCGTGAGGAACTTGAGCGGCAGGCACTCCTCCTCCTCCTCCTCATCCCCCCTCCTCCTTTTCCTCCTTCCCCCTCTTCTTCCTCCTCCTCCTCCTCCTCCTCCTCCTCCTCCTCCTCCTAGCCATTGCCCCCGTTTACCGAAATTCAGGCTGCTTGCGCTAGCGTTTCGTTTCCGAATTTCGGAGTTCATTTTGAAGGGAGAAAAGTTGAGGCAGTTTCCTTTAGCGGCGGCTCTAGTTGAGCCTCGCCGCATTACCCGCGGGGCGAGTGGGGTGCCTTACGTTTTCGGTTTTCTGGTTGAGCCGCGGAACCCATGTCTTACCATCCCCGTCCTTCCAAACTTCCTCATCCTCCTCCTGCGCGCTCATCACCAGTCTTGCCTTGAATCCTCGTCCTCTTCCTCCTCCTCCTCCTCCTCCTTCTCCTCCTCCTCCTCCCCGTTGTGTTGCTCATCGTTCCCCCTCCTTCTATTTGTTTGGTCCTCCTCGTCGTCCGCTTACCTCTCTCTTCCTCCCTCTCTTCCTCTCGTCCGCCTCCTCCCACATCACCGCCCCTGGCTTCCATGTTCATGCTCACCCTTTTGATCCGCATCCTTGTTCCTCCCTCCACCTCCGCTCACCTAATCGATCCCGCCATCCTTGTAGCTGGTCGGCATCATCCTTCGCATCCTTCCCTCTCTGCCCTCTCCTCATGTCCCTCCCCACCCCTCTGCCACTAGATCCCTCCTTCTTCTCGGTCCCGTTTTCAGCCTCGATGCTGCCGTCCCTCCTCCTCCTCACCATCACAACCGCCAGCATCAACCTATTGCCCTCCTTCCTCGGTGCAGAGGAAAAGACTAGCACATCCATTGAATTTCGGAGGTCCGCGCGGACTTCCTGGATCGGCGGCGCTGGAATCCCCTCCCTGGCGCGCGGGCACCGCGCGCCCGGGGCCGCGCGGGGGGGCGCCGCCGGGGGGGCCAGAGCCGACACAAGAAGTCCGAGCGGGGCGCCGACATTTTCTGGTTTCTGCAATTCTTTCTCCTTCGTTGCCTGCCCGATCCTCGCTTTTCCACCCGTTCTGCCCCCCCAGCTGCAGGAGGTGCTGCGCGTGGCCGTGCAGCTCGGAGCCCGCGCTCACCTGGGAACCCCCCCCGCGTTGACCCTCCAGGGCGCGTGGGCGAACCACACAAACACAAGCACACACCCAGATACACAAACACACACACACACACACACATACGCACATACCAACACACAAGCACAAACACACAACCACACACACAAACTCACTAACACACAGAGACACACATAAACACACACACGCACACACACACACAATCACACACGCACATACGCACACACGCACACACGAACACACGCATACACGCACACACAAACTATCTCACTCTCACGCACACGCACACACAAACACACACACATGGTGCAGCTAGCATGCGTATGGGCGCATCTGCACACGCAAACACATGCATAGATGCACACGTATGCTTAGAGTTATGCATGTATGTACCGATTTAGTTGTTTATGGAATCTACGTATAGTTATATGTATATGTCTATGTGGATTCATGGATGTGCATCCTTACGATGTTGCATGTCATATTCACACGGTGACTAACCTGCACATGCGAGCATGCATATACGCACGCGTGCGTAGCACCGTCTCTATGTTTCTCGCTCCATTACTATTATTATTAGGTGTTGTTCGGCCCTCGCTTTGAATACATAGCGCCGCGCGTTTCACTCACCTCATTTCTCCCGCTCCTGCTCCTCCGGCTCATGTTCTTTCCCATGTTTTGATGTGGTGTTGGGTCCTCGCTTTGAACCCCCAACTTTTGTGCGTCTTCTCATTTCTTCTTGGCGGCGCGCACAAGGGGGTATGGGGGAGGAGGGAAGGCTTCTGGGGAGGCTGCTGCTTAGGAGGCGCCGGCCTTACATCTACAGATGAGGCCCGCGCCTTTCTAAGAAGACTTCGCCCCTCCCTCTACCCTTCGCTGATCATGGCCGACTTTCTGCCTCCTCTCTTCGCCATCGCCCCGCCCGCCTCCTCCTCCTCCTCCTCCTCCTCTCCCTGCCCTCTGCTCTCCGTCCTCACCTCGCACATGTTCCGTGCCACCGTGGGGAGCTCCACCTATGCCCCCAGTGGAGGAGCTCGCATGCCAGTCCGCGCCTCTTTCGGCGCACTCCGCACGCCGATCGTGCCCCAAAGGTTCGGCACACACCTCCCGCTGTCGTCGTTCCGCGTCGCCATTACCGCCGCCTTCGTCTTCGTTGTCGTTGTCGTCGTCGTCGTCGTCGCCGTCGTCGTCGTTGTCGTCGTCTTCTTTTTCGTCGACTTACGCCTCATTATTTTGCCTTTTCCTGTTCATTCCTGTCCACCGGCCCCTCGTGTACCCAGACCCCGGCACATCCTCCTCCTTTTCCTTTGGCCACCCCACCACTCCTCCTCCTCCCTCCCTCCTCCCTCCTCCCTCCTTCTTCATTCCTTCCTCCTCCTCCTCCTCCTCCTTTTCCTCTTCCTCCCCCTCTTGTAGCGAGGGTAGCGACCCAAGGCCCAAGGCCAAAAAAGATCCGAGCCGCTGGGTCACTCGGTCGATTCTGGAGGCCCGCTCCCCGCTGTCGGGCCTTGCTCTCATGGCCTTTCTGGAAGGGCTTAAGCACTACTCTGGGCAATGACGCCCTACTTTGAGCAGGGACCGACCGTCCCGGCATTCCTATAGTCGTACCACGACATGTTCTTAGAACCCAAGCATGTTCTAAGAACAAAAACAATGTTCTTGGAACATTAACCCGATGTGTTAAACCAAGACAGTCTCCGCCAGAAATGTTCTAAGAACAAACATTTCGCGGGAACCACGAAAGGTTCTTAGAACAGTGTTTGGTAGGGCCATAGGCGAGCCAGGACGCTTCGCCACTGCTTGACTACTCGTGACGCCCCATAACGCTAACTCCGCCATAGCTGGCAACGGGCCCCTGAACCCACCCCCTCTGCGGCCGCTCGCCGGCAGGCTCGGCCGGGAGAGGAAGAGGGCGGCCAGCAGCGCCATCATCGCGTCGGCGTGCCCCTCGTCGATGTCCTCCTTCGCCAGTACCTGGCATGGCGGGGGGGGCGCCAGCCCCTCTCCTCCTCCAAGCGAGGCATGCCCAAAGAAGTCTGAGCCTCAACTCCTACATGGGGTTCCGCGCCTGCGGATCCAGAGCCTCGGCCTCAAAACCCAGCATCCGATGCCGCGAGAACACTAACGATGTCGGGCAGCAACAAAGAACGACCAAATCTCGCAACCTCAACCTGATGCGGTACAGTTCTCTGGCCAGATCGGCCCGTGAGGGCCCAAAGGACCCGACGCGGGGCAAGACCAGGCCGTCGTGCTTTTCCCATGGCGCTGGGGTGCGACAGAAATTGGCGCGCCCGACGCGGGTGCGGGAACAGACATAAGAATTACAATGCCCAACTCTTGGCCGCGAGATACTTAGTGTCCCAGATGGACACAAGCGTACGCGGCAACACCGATAACGACTCCTGCTCAACATGGGGAAGGGAGGGACTGCTGATGGTCTTCGTCCCCAATTTTCCGTGCCCATGCCGGTGGCCCCGAAGACACAACATATCTCCAACTTGCAGCCGGGTCTGGCTTTGCGCGCGGGCCACCCGCGCGCGCGGCGCCCAGGGGGGGGGGATGGGCGCACGCGCACTGCTGGCGGTTCCTGGACTGCGGGTGTTGCCAAAGGTGGCGCTTCGGAGCCTCGATGATCGGATGCGGAGGCCGCGTGGCGCTAGGACCCTCCCCTGCCCCCCACCCCGAGGCGCGCCCCCCCCCCCCCCTGCGACCCGCAGTCTGAATGATTACAACAAGGTTGTTTCATGGATGTCCTAGCGATTGGAACGGTATGGATCAGCAACTTACTCATCATACATGTTCATCGTACGTGTCCTTTCTCATTGTGCTTCCTTGTCCTATTCCTCCCTCCGCCTTCCTGTTCCTCCCCCCGTTGAGCTTCTCAATTCTCCTCATATTGTTCTCCTCATCATGCGCCCCTTCGTGTCGTTTTCGTGCCGCGCCGAACTTTCTGTTCAAATCGAGATTCTCGCTCAAAGCCGGTTTCTTGAACTGGGAGGTCCTCAAAAAGTTACGACGGCGCAGGTGGCGAATCTTCAAGCAAGCTCAGAGTACAAAACAAATGAACGCCTTCTAACAATTCATGCTCCAACCCCGAACGCGGCGCCTGATGGTCCCCTACCACAGCTAACACAGAATACCTGGCAGGTGGTACGCAGGAGGTCCAACCATGCAAAAATACTTCGGCAAAGACGCGAAACTGACCGCCATGACTACAGAGATCGGCGCGTCTGTGGGCGGTGGCGTCATACTCGTTGATGGAGATAACAACAACTGCTTCTGCACAATTCTCGTCAACCTCCTCAACAAATCCGTGGCCGACATGGAGGTTTTCGAATTGCTCGGTATTTGCACTGAGACTTGCAAGCAATGGCGGGAGTTTATGATGTATGATGGGATGCTGCGACGTGATTCCGAAAACGGCAAACAACAATTTAGTTTGGTTGGCTCACGTGGGGATGCCAGCCCACGACGCCCCGTTATTGTGGAAATCTAACAAACTCAAATGCATGCAGCAGTGGACATCGTATCGGGTCTGGGCCGTTTTGACTGTGGGCGCGCCGCTTTTCTGAGAGGCCGAATCCTCGAGGTTCTCGCCTTCACTTTGGCTTGGCCGCGGTAGAGGCAGTCGTGTGCAATTCGTGCTGGGATTGCCTGTGCATGTGCGCACTTGTAAGATACATGCTCTCATGCTTGACGGGGCCATCTTGAAGATTCCAGAGTCGAGTTTTCGTGATCTCTTCAAGCACTTGGAAAGCGCGGGATCTGAACACAACGTGTCATTTTCGGCAGACAAATTCGACAAGCTCGGCGGCGAACCCACGAGTCTCTCCGCAAACTTCATGAGACGGTCCGGACAATGAGGAAAAGCCGCAAACCTCAGCACGTTCAGGGACAGCCAAAATCGCTGGCGATGCTCGCGCTGGCCCAATCGCCACTTCCAGCGCCTTGCATTTTTCGAAAGACGACCACTGGTACCATGAACAAAAACCTGTGCTTGGTGGCGCATCTGGCTGCCAGGCGACGGTGATTGAGAACGTGGTCAGTCAATCTTGTATGTGCTTACGTGACACAAATTCCGCGGCGCCGCGACCGCGGCAAGCAAGCATCATTGCTACGACGTTATTTCTACGACGTCCAAAAGCTAGCACTTTCGAGCACGACGTCATTTGCTACGACGTCCAAAAGCTAGTACGTTCGAGGACGACGTCATGTGCTATGACGTCCAAAAGCACCTCGCTGCCACCGGTCAGACGAAATTGCTGCCCATGTGTTTCGCTGAACATTGCGCGTCAGCCTGCAGCATGGGGGACTGGATCACGGGTTGCCTGGAAGGGGCCGCGTTCGGATTGGGCGGGGTCGTCGAATCGCTGGGGTCAGAGTTCTGCTGGCACCGCAATGACCCGGGGACGGGGTGGCTTCGGCCCGAATGTCGTCGGGGTGCTGGCGTGGGCGCATACTTCGGGCATGGCCACGTTCGGTCGGGGCCGGGCAGCTTCGAGGTGGGCCGCTCTTTGTTTCTACCATCATCACATTTCTTGGGTGAAGCGGCAACTCATCTCAGTACCGCCCAAGGCGAATACGCTTAATTACACCGCGGCCTGCTCCGCACCGTCGTTTCCCTCGGGACGGACGTCGATGGTACTTTCATGTGACGGGGTCCACTGCGTCTCCAGTATCACCAATGTGGGCCACACGAGCCAGTATCACCAATGTGGGTCCACTGCGTCTCCAGTATCACCAATGTGGGCCATGACGATGGTGTGTTCCAATCCAGTGTGCTTCCGACTCCACCGCGCGGTGGCGGGCTTCCAGCCCGTCTATTCGAGGTACCTGCTGACCTCGGCTGCGAAGCTTCCCCTCTGTCGCCCGGGCAACTCGCCGGCGAAGTCGCCGAGGGTGTGCGCCCGCTGGGACACCACTCTGGCGGCCAGCGCCATGATCGTGTCCTGCATGAACGCCGGCAGACTCGTAAACCTCGATTCGACGATCATGCGGGTCTCGTCGTTCGTATTGAGTTTCTCCGAGTGTGTTATCAGGTCGACTCCGAGAACAGAGAAGCTGAAGAGAGAAAAGAACACTAAGAAGCCTACCGACAGCTTTGTTCCTAGTGACCTCGGGAGCTCGCTGCACGATCTGCACAGCTCGCTGAGAGCGCTCATCATCCTGAAGGCCCTCACGGTCCGCAGGGTCAAGAGCTGGGGTGCCAGAGGTACTTGCTGCACGCCCAAGGCGTTGACGATGGGCATCATGATCCAGGAGATGGCAATTCCGCCGACAACGAGGGCGACGTCGAATCGAAAACAATGGCTCTGAACAAATGTACCTGGCCGTCCGCTACAAAATGCAGAACGACCTCGAGCAGGAACCATATCAATACTATCGAGTCCAGCCAAGATCTGATGGCCACGTCTTTGTCCTCCAGCTTGAGCTTAACTTCTAGACCGATGAGCACGCAGTTCACCATGATGATCGAACGAAGAAGAAGATGGTGAACGTGGGGTACCCGAACTCTGGAGTAACCCCACAAGGATGAGAAATCAAACTCCACATGATGATCAAACCCATAAAGACGTCAAACAAATGTCCGTGGACGAGCTTCTTGACTCTCGATCGCCACCACGGGGCGCTCGAGTCTGAGCTGTGCCAGCTGGAATCCCGAAGGACGAATTTGAGATGCGTGGTCCTCCTGAAGATTTCCGTCTCACATTGCTCAATCGAAGACCATGATGAAGCACGCACCGGCTTGTCCATCTCTTTCAGCTCGTCCACCGCGGCAGGAATCTTACAGTCCTCCACCGGGGCCACTGCCTCGTCCGCGGCTTTCGCCCAGGGGGTCCAGCCAGCCAGCGGCGCAGCCGCGACCGCCCTCGGCGCTCTCCCGACGGACGGCCTTCTGTCCGCGTGGCCAGCGTTCGCCGGCTGGGGGCCCCAATATCCTGGGAGCAAGGCTGCCCCCCGCGGCGGCAGCCCTGTACTCTCGCCCCTGCGCGGCTGCGCCCGGGTCTCCTCCCGCATCGCAGCCCGCACCACGCTCCGCAGCTGCTCCGGCTGCCTCGCCGAGAACTCGACCGAGACACGCGGCGACCAGCAGGGCCGCCAGGGCAGCTGGTCGCTTGACAGGCTGGCGCAGCCCGCGTCGCCGACCGGGAAAGGCGCCTCCAGCGACTCCGTGCTCGCCGCCGGGTTCACCGCCGCCCCCGCGGCGCCCCAGAGCTCGGGCGGCGCGCCGCGGGGCGCCGCCGCTTTCGTGGCGCCCACCGCCGCCGCCTCGCGGCGCTCTCGCCGAGAGCCCGACGCCGCGCGGCGCTCGCCTTGGCCCTGGCGCTGGGGCGCGGCGCCGTCGCTCTCGCGGTGCTGAGGGGGTCGCCCGGAGGCGCGCGGAGGCGGAGGCCGCCTTGCTCGGGCTGCAGGCTTGAGCCAAAATGGCTACGGTTCGTTTACGGCGCTTCTTGGGTCGTCTTTGGCCCGTCGAAAGTATGGGAAAACGGGTACAACGAAAACTAAAACAACTCACAGAAAAAGTAACAATGTTCGCCTCCGGAGGTCGTGTCGCGGTAACCTAGTGAGGTCTCTTGGACTCTTGGACCGTCTCACGGGCCTCTCGGGGCCATCAGGGAGCATCTTGGGACAGTACATTCGCCTTTGGCTCTTCTTGGGGCCCTCTTGGAACCCTCTTGGAGCCCTCTTGGGCCCCCGGGCCTCACATTTGCTGTCGGGGGCCTGGTTCTGGGCCCCCGGGCCCGTTGCGCCGTTATATGTATCATCAAATCGATTGCACGTGTGGGGGGTTACACATTGAATCTGATACATGCTTTTTCAAACTGATTTTCAGTGTGGGGGCGCCGCTGCAATTTTCAGATATACATGGTTCCGGAAACCTGCTTCTCCAGGAACCGGCACGCAACTCAGTTTAGCTTCATATGGGAAGATGCCCATCTGCCACCAACGCTACAGGGTGTATTAAACCAGATGCCCATATGCCACCGACGCCACCAACCAACCCATATGCCATAATCACAAACAAAACACCTGGTTGTAATTGCACGAACGGCGGCTCCTACCGCTCCCCCCCCGCTCACAGGAGTGCGGTGGCGGAATCGCGCGGCAGCGCAACTGGCAGGATGCGGAGGCCGCGTGGCGCGAGGCGGGGGGGGAAGAGACGGAGGAGGGTGACGACCAAAACGACGACCATCAGGCGGCCACTGGCGGCACGATGCTGCATTTTTTTCGAAACGTCGGATCTCAGGGTCCTGGGGGAGGGGAGACAGAGGTACCGACGTAACCGCGAGGGTCTGTCTGTGGCCGCACCTCGACCTCTGCGCCGTTTGAGTGGCCCGCCACAGCGCACACGACAGGCCTGAGTGGACAATGAGGCCCAGCTCTCGGGAGACCTCACAGGAGAGGTGGGGAGATGTACGAGGGGAGGGAGAGCGGGGGGTTCGCCGCTCCCGGCCTGGAACGGGAAGCACCGCAGGCTGCACTCCACGACGACCTGCCCTCCCCTTTTCTTTTCTGGTGTGGGGGGGTCCGACTCTAGTCACATCCGCCTACATCTGGCGCGCTGACGGGGCGCAGGGCGAGTTCATATCGAAACATCTAAGTCACAACCATTTTTCATGGATTTCACATCCGCCTGGCCTGGCTCCGTTTTTTGACGAGCAGAATCGGTGTCCGTCGGCGGGAACCATCTGTTTTGTTTGACGCGCTCATTTTGAAATCTTGCGCCACGTTCGCATTCAGAGCACGCACGCGCTGTAAACGCTATGTTTTGCTTACATATATACCTCTACGACCACCCTTCGGGTGATAAGGAGGTTCGGGGGGGGAACCAACGCCTCACTCGATCGGTCCCACGATCGATCTTACTATTGATCTCACAATCGGTCTCGCTCGATCGATCTCACTCGATCGATATCACCATCGATAGCACTCGATCTATTTCATTCGATCGATCTCACAATCGATATGGCGATCGATCTCACAATCGACCTCACAATCGATCTCACAATCGAAATCACGATCTATCTCACATTCGGTATCACTATCGATATCACTATCGAAATCACAGGCGATCTCACAATCAGCGTCACCATGATCATCATAATGGGCAACATCGTCATCAACGTCATCAACATCATCACCATCACCATCATCATCGGGACACCATCACCATTAACACCTCATCACCATCATCATCAACATCATCATCATAACCATCACCATCATCGGGACATCATCATCGTCACCATCATCATCATCAACACCATTATCATCTGGACATCATCATCGTAATCATCGGGGCACCGTCATCATCATCATCACCATCATCTCATCATCATGTACAACATCGTCAACATCATCCTCATCACCGTCTGGACACCATCATCATCATCAGCCGCATGCTCAGCATCAACATCATCATCACCGGAACACCACCATCATCGTTACCATCACCATTGTCATCATCATCAACACCATCGGGGCATCATCATCATCATCAAAATCAGCATCATCAGCATCATCGGACCACCATCATCAAAATGATCAGCGGCTCATCGTCCTCCTCATTATCAACATCGTCACCATCGAACACCATCATCGTCATCATCATCGTCATCAACATCATCATCATCATCATCGGGACACTATCATCATCATCGCCACCATCATCAACATCAACATCATCATCATGATCATCGGGACACCATCATCACCACCATCATCATCATCATATCAGCATCTCATCATTATCAACATCATCAAGGTCATCAACATCATCACCATCATCGGGACACCATCATCATCAGCGACATCAGCATCATCATCATCATCATCATCGGGACACCATCATCATCACCACCATGGCCATCACCAGCATCATAATCAACGTCATCACCATCATCAAAACACCATCATCGTCAACATCATCACCATCATCGACATCAGCATCATCATCACCATCGGGAAAAAGCATCATCATCATCAGAAAACCACCATCATCATCATCTCATCATCATCAACATGAACAGCAAATCAACATCATCAGCATCGGGGCACCACCATCATCATCAACAACAGCATCATCAACATCATCATCATCGGGACACCATCATCATCGTCATCACCATCATCATCACCATCATCAGCATCATCGGGACACCATCACCATCAGCACCACTAGCATTATCATCAGCATCGGGCCACCACCATCAAAACCATCAGCATCACCTCGTTGCCATCTTCATCATCAACATCATCATCATCATCGGGATACCATCATCGTCTGCATCATCATCAACATCATCGGGACACCATGACCATCATCACCATCATCATCATCAACATCGTCGTCAACCTCATCGTCATCATCATCGGGACACCATCATCATCAATTTCATCATCATCATCCCATCATCTCATCATCGTCGACACCATCAGGATCATCAACATCATCGTCATCATCATCGAGACACCACCATCATCATCACCAACAACATCAACATCATCAACATCATCATCATCGGGACACCATCACACCATGGCCATCATCATCATCATCAACATCGTCATCATCATCATCATCACCATCTATCCTGCCGTCCTCTGCGGGGACGGCGGCAGCCTTCAAAGATAATGAAGGCAAGGGACTTCATTTTGCGCTGGGGCGCCGCCGCGGCCGAGGAAACTCGGCAGGTTCCTGGCGGGGTCGCTTGGACCCGGAAGCTATGGCGCCAGACGAGGCTCGCACTGTCGGCCTCGCCGGCACCCAAGTTTGAAAAGCATCGAGCACAGGGAAGAAAGAGGGAGGAGGAGGGGAAAGGGCGGAGCCAGAAAAGCTGCAGAGGACTCCGATGCGGACAGCGATAACGCGTCACACTTTCAATCGCCATCTATCCTGCCGTCCTCTGCGGGGACGGCGGCAGCCTTCAAAGAGAATAAAGGCAATGGACTTCATTTTGCGCTGGGGCGCCGCCGCGGCCGAGGAAACTCGGCAGGTTCCTGGCGGGGTCGCTTGGGCCCGGAAGCTATGGCACCAGACGAGGCTCGCACTGTCGGCCTCGCTGGCACCCAGAATCCCGAAGCCCCTGCAAGGGCACTCCTGGGCGGTGGTCGGGGTGGTGCTGGGAACGCGTTCAGAAGCCTGTGCTCGAGATTATTTGCCGCGCTGGCGGCGCTGCGAAGCTGGGCAGGCGACAGCGCGCTTCTCCTACGCAACATTCCCGCTGGCTTAGCATAATATCGTCGGACCGACGAGGGGGCCAGCCAGCGGCCGCGAGTCTGGAGGGCTGCCGCGCTCGCTCTGAAACGCCACGCGTCGTGGCCGGGCCCTGCACGGCGAAAAGAATGAGGCGAGAACGGCAGCTGGGCATCGAAAAATTCGAGGCGGCACTCACGGCATGCCGCCGCCCAGCGGGCGGCGCTCAGACCAGGAAACAGCGGAGCGGCTTGGTCTCCTGGGCGCGCTGCTGTCGCTCTGGCGGCCAGGTTGAGGACCAGCTGCGCCACCCAGCCACGGTCGTGGGCCCCCACGATGGTGGAGGCGTCGTACTCGAAGTTCTTGGCGGGAGGTGCTGTCGGGTCGTCCTCGTTGATCGGCGCGATGGTGATGACGACGTCCTGCGCGCCCGCCATGGGCGGGGTCACGTGGCGCACCGTCAAGGCCACGGCCTCGGCGGGGCGCAGGTAGCAGTCGAAGGCAATGACGGGCGCGGCCGCGACCAGGGGGAAGACGCCCCCGCGGCGGAGCCACGCGTCGCAGGCCAAGTGGAGGTACTCGATCGGCAGCGAGTCGCGCGGCTGCTCGGGCGAGGCACGCGCGAAGCCGTGCAGAGCGGCCTTCGCGAGCGGCAGGGTGGCTCGGCCCCGAGGCGGGAGCCCCAAGCAGTGCGCCGCGCCGTGCACAGCGTACCTCGCCTTGGCCGGGGGCAGACCGTCGAAGAACATGGCGTCCAGAAGCTCGTCCAGCACCGCGTCCCACGAGGCCGCGCCAGTCGGCTCGCGCCCGTGCTGCCTCGCCCAGCGCCCGACCTCCGCGAACGACTCCTGGTAGTGCCGAGCTGTGGTTGGGCGGACAGCGGCGCGACGGCAGGCCCCTGGGGCGCCACCGCAGGCCTCGCGGCGGGCGTCGCCCCGGCGCCTGGCCGCGCGCCGCGCCGGCGCAGGCGGCGCGATGGGCACGGGCGTCCGCCAGCTCACCCCGCCAGGGTTCCCCGTCCCAGTGCTTGACTGCCCCCTCCCACCCGAGCCGGGCGGCGCGCTCGAGGCGCGGGGCCGCCGCGCGTCGGCTGGGGGCGGCGGCTGGCTGCGCGCTGACTGCCAGACGCCAGTCCCAGAAGTCGTCCAGGAGGGGCTCCCGCGGGCAGCGGAGGCTGCTGGGCGGCGCAGCTGAGCGGCACACCCGGGCCAGTGCCACAGCAAGGCGAGGAGGGTGCGCCGCGGCGAAAGAGGTGCGCCACCGCGGGCGGGCCCCCGCGAGCTGCACCTTCCCGGCGAGGACGACATGGGGGGCCCCTGGCGCCGGACATCGGCGACTGAGGGTGGGCCCCCCAGGCAGCGCGGTGTAGATCGTCGTCGGCTTCTTCCACGGGGCCCCGTAGGCGCACATGTCGAAGTCGCAGCGCACGGCACCAAGCCTCGCCAGCGCCCGAGAAATCCCAGGATCGCCGAAGAGGCTGCTGCGAGCAGGGTTCTCCAGGATGATGTGGACGCCGCAGCGCGCTGCGACCCGCAGGACCTTGGCGGCGAAGGCCTTGCAAGCGGTGGCGGGATGGTCTCCGGCCCCTGCGGCGCGGGCCGGCACCCATCCCGTGCGCGGAGTGCCGAGCAGGATGCACCACACCAAACACCAACCCGCCAGTGATCCAGGCCAGGATCTCGCGCTGCACTCGTGGGTCCAGAAGGTCACGATGAGGCCCATGAACTCGATCGACAGGCACCGCGGTGCGCAAGCCCATCTGCGCGGCGGCGGCGGTGGCTGCACCGCAGCCGGAGTAGAGCTCCAGGAACGCCGGCCGCGAGGCGGGCCAGGAGGAGCGCCCGCGGGCGCCAGAGTCAGCGGGCGGCCGCGGCGGCCGCGGCGGGGGAGCCGGGCAGGGGGTTGTGACTTTGGAAGGCTGAATCCTCCCCCCCCCGCCCGGCGAATGGGCCCCCCTGGCGGCCAGCGCCGCGGGCCGTCGGCCTCCGGCGGCCGCGGCCTCCCCGCGAGGGCGCCCAGGGGGCGCAGCTGGCTCAGCCGCCTCTGCCTGCCACTCTGGCCCCACGGCGGCGGCCAAGGGCAGCTGGCGGAGGAGCGCCCCCGGCGCGCGGCGCCCGAAAGGCACCAGGCCCCGCCCGGCCAGGCGGGAGTCGAAGTCCGACGGGTTGCGCTCGGTCTCCACGTAGCGCCGGTGCCAGGTGATGCCCGCGCCGATCTGGAGGGCGCGCGCGCGGCGGGTGAGAGCCAGCAGCTCCTTGTCCCTCGCGCGACCCCGATCAAACGCCAGGATCTCCGAC